TTAGCCTAACACTCTCCAGTTCCATCCACATTGCTACAAAGGGCCATATTTCACTCTTTCTCATTGCCACGTAGTATTCCATTGTGTATATAAACCACAATTTCTTTATCCATTCATCAGTTGATGGACATTTAGGCTCTTTCCATAATTTGGCTATTGTTGAGAGTGCTGCTATAAACATTGGGGTACAAGTGCTCCTATGCATCAGCACTCCTGTATCCCTTGGGTAAATTCCTAGCAGTGCTATTGCTGGGTCATAGGGTAGGTCTGTTTTTACTTTTTTGAGGAACCTCCACACTGTTTTCCAGAGTGGCTGCACCAATTTGCATTCCCACCAACAGTGCAAGAGGGTTCCTGTTTCTCCACATCCTCTGCAGCATCTATAGTCTCCTGATTTGTTCATTTTGGCCACTCTGACTGGAGTGAAGATACCTGCATTTTCAATGGACTGGAATTGGGGAAGAACCAGGCAGATTAGGGTCAAGTGTGTAGAGGTGACCAGTGGCGGATCTCCTGGGCTTGTCTGGGAGTCTGGCCACACACATTTCAGAGAGGAACCCGAAGTCTGGCATTCTGCCATCTTCCTTACCTTGACAGTGGGGGAAATCAGAGGCTCCTGAGAGACACCTGTCACAGCGCTGTCCTGTAATCCCCGGCTGGCATTCACACTGCCCCGTCACTGGGCTGCAAGGCGTTTGGTAGGAGCCAAGGACTGAACACTGGCAGGCTGGATAAAAAGGTGTCAGTCAGACCCAGGGCAGCAGGGCCTGGATAAGAGCATGACAGTGGGTCAGAGAGACCCAAATGGAAGTTCCAGCTGTGTGACTTATTCAGACAGACACGGCTAGGTAGAGGCAGACCCAGAGCGTTCACCACCATTCTACCCTCCTACTTTGTTTCATCCCTCCAGCAGACTCTGATCAAAGGCCAATGTGTTCAATGGCACTGGGATGAGGTGTTGGGGTGGAGGTAATTAGGAAAGACACACATGCCCTGACCTCAGAGAGCTAAACATCCAGAAGAGGGGCTAAGGAATTATTGACATAGTATGAAGCACCTCCCCCACCCCCACCACTGCTAAGAAACTGTAAAAGAAATGAAGAAACGTGCCTAATGCCCTTCAGCTGGTTCTTGGCAGACTGCAGGCAAGGACTCACGTCTACTGCCATCTGGCTCAGCCTTCTTTCCTGGCCCCATGTTCCCCAGGGCCTGCCTACAGAGATTACGTCCCTACCAAGGGGCACATTATTGAGATGTTCTTAGGTTCTATGATCATTAATTTTTTTTTTTTTTTTAAGGTGAGTGGGGGCACCCGGGTGTCTCAGTCATTTGAGTGACTCTTCACTTCAGCCTAGGTCATGACCTCGCGGTTCCTGGGTTCAAGCCCTGTGTTGGGCTCTGTGCTGACAGAATCCTGCTTGGGATTCTCTCTCTCTCTCTGCCCCTCCCCTGCTGGTGCGCACACGCTCTCTCTCTCAAAAATAGACATGTAAAAAAATAAAAACAAAAATAAAAGGTGAGTATATATTTTATTATTATTATTATTATTATTATTATTATTATTATTATTACTTTAGAGATCCCACGGCCCTAGGATCATGACCTGAGCCGAAACCAAGAGTCGGACACTCAACAGATTGAACTGCTCAGGTGCCCCTGCAATGGTTCATTTTTAAATGTCAACTTGGCTATGCTATGAGGCTCAGATGTTTGGCAAGCGCCAAGGTAGATGTGGCTGTGAAAGTTTTTTTTTTTTTTAAGATGTGACTAATATTTAAATAAGTTGACTTTGGGTAAAGCAGATACCTCATCCAATCAGTCGAAAGCCTTAAGAGAAAGTTTCCCAAAGGAGGAGATCTGCCTTTGGACTTGAGCTACCCTATCAGCTCGTCCCTAGGTCTCCAGCCCACCAGCCTGCCCTGCAGATCTCAGACCCACCAGCCCCCATAATAATGCCACTTCCTTAAAATAAATCTCTCTCTCTATACACACACGCATACATCCTATTGGTTCTCTTACTGCTCTTTCTGCTATTTCCGTCTTACAGGAAAGAGAATGCAGAAACCCACACAGGCATTTAGGGCAGCACAGTGGTGGCACCTCTGGCCAGCATAATGTGGGGGACATCACCCCTGGCTCCGACGGCCATAGAGGTTGTCCAGGGAGCCTCAGGAGACACAGTTACACTCCAGAAGTGAAAACAAAGACCTAGCCTTAAACGCAAGGCACATGGTTTTAAATGGTGAATTACTCCATCTGGCATCTCGTGTCTCCTTTCGATCCAGCCGTCAGTGACAGCTGCCAAATCCCAAACCCAAACCTCAACATTGGCAGCCCCTCTTTACTCTTGGAAATACTATAATGTCTTACGAACACTTTCATTCTGCTCTTTGTGTTGGTCCAGGTCCTTTGGAGTTTCTGGGAGTATTTTACCTCTTGTCTACTCCTGTTTCAGCTTTAAGACCTTTTTACTCCCAAAGAGCAAAAAAAAATAATGACAGTCAAGCTCCAAAGGGTTAAGAATGTCTGCTGTATTCCCCAGTGTCTTCCAACATCACACACAGCCCTGGTCCCTAGTATATGCCAAGCAGATATCTGTTAAATGAAAGAGTAAGTAACTATTGAAATCTTCCTGAGGTCCACTCTGTATAGTTTCTCAGCATGCATTCCCTTACTGAACCTCGCAACACCGCCACGAGACAGGTGTTGTATGAATAACGCCATCCTCTTCTCCATCAGTAAATTAGCTCATCAGGTGAGGCGAGGCTCTACAGACAGCATGTAAATCACAAGGTAAACATCGCCCCTTACTGTTTCCGGGATGCTCTTCCTGCCCATGACTTTGGAGCCTTTCCTTCTGTTGGAAAACAGAAAAACATCTTCTGGAAAAGCAGACTGGCTCCTTCCCCGGTCAAAGCCACAAAGCCAACAGTCAGTTCCACAGCACATGCTGCCACTACCACTCACCTCTCTGGTTACCTGGGCACAGGGCAGATTAAATCTACAGAAGATCTAAGGTTTCTTCCAACCAACCACCTCACTATTCTCCTAGACACAACCTGAATTACAAAGTGAAGGGCCAGTTCAAGACCAAATTGCACAGAACGTGGCTTCAGATCGCTCCCCATGCCCAGCCCTAGGGTTTTGTTTCCCCTCTTGGAAAGGCTGGGAGGGCTCTCCTGGGAGCATCCCAGGCCATCAACCTTCCCTACAGCACCATTCGCCAATAGTTGGTGCCATTTCTCTTGGCTGGTTTGTCTGATTCATGGGACTATGCTGACAGGTAGGAGGTTAATCTTGCACTGGCAACCTATTTAGAGGCGTTTTCTAAGGAAAGACCAGTCACCACAACCCAAGGATTACAGCAATCTCCAATGGGGACAGTTCCAGGCCCTGGGTTGGGTCAGTGTGGTTGAAATTTGGGGACAGCTGCACTTGGCACACCCTCAGCTCCTATCCATGGGCAGACCATTTATTTCTGCAACCCACTCTCCTAGCCTCTATTGTTGTTTTTTTTTTTTAATGTTTATTTTTGAGACAGAGCGTGCATGCATGAGTAGGGTAGGTGCAGAGAGCGGGAGAGAGAGGATGTGAAGCAGGCTCAGCACTGACAGCAGACAGCCTGATGCAGGGCTCAAACTCACAAACCATGAAATCATGACCTGAGCCAAAGTCAGACGCTTAACCGACTGAGCCACCCACCCAGGCGCCCCCTCCTAGCCTCTGTTCTAAGTGCTGACAAGCTGCTGCCCAGCAAGCTGTACCAGAAAAGGAGGGGAAGGAGAAGGAGCAGGGAGAGAAAAATGAAGGTGAGGAAAGCAGGAATGAGGAGTGTGGGGGTGGGGAGGGAAAGAGGGGGGATGTGGTGGGAGGAGGAAAAGGCAGAGAGTAAACCTCCCCAAATGGACCAAGTTAACTGAGAGAACTACAGTTGTATGCTGTAGTTGAAGATAAAGAACTGAACCAGGCATTAGTGTAAACATATGTCTGAAATACAAATAGGCAGTTCTCCAATGTGGTCTCCCATCTATGACGTGACTTTCACCTACGAAAAAGAAAACAGCAGGGCACTTGCGTGAGTCGAAATTAAGACAAGAAGACTATGGCACTGTGCTTAGGCAAGTCTGGACCAAATTAAGTTAATGTGAAACATGAATGCAGAAGCATGGTTGGCAAGAACAGCTTAGAAGGGTTTTCAAGCTCCTTTTCAAGAAGATTTTTAAAGTCTTAGGAACATTTTTTGGCTAGAATATATTGGACCGTCTGATGTGGTATTTGGGGTCATGTTAATTCTATTCTAAAATTCAGTGGCCAAGCAATCAGTTTCGTCTTAAGAAAACAAAAACAAAAACAAAACAAAAACAAAGATAAAAAGCCACACAAATTAAAACACTGGGTTAGACCTTGCTGCTAGACTAAGCTCAGATTTCAGTGAGTCCAAGCTTCAGCCACTTACCTCAAAGCTGCCCCCGAGGGAAAATTTTAAAAAGATAACAATAGCAGTTAGAAAAAGGGAAGAGCAAGAGAAGAGAGACATCACAAATGGAATTCTTCCAGAACCCAGTGGTCCAAATAGAACAACGAGCTTCGGGGTGTATTGCTTATACCACGCCGGGAATGTGGTGGATGGTGCATTTTCCTGAAAAACTTGGAAAAGAGCAGGTGGGCTTCTCAGAGGCTGGGTGTGCTCGGGCAAGGTCCCCTGACATAGGACTTCAGGTGATTTGCTCCCCACCCCCCCCACCCCCACCACATACCCCTGCTTGAGTTCCAAAGCCTGAACAGTGCTGCCTCCGTCACTGGAGTGGGACTAGGGTGCACAATGTTCCTCTCCCTCTGCCTCACTGTGTGAGCCTTTCCCTCCACTTGAGCCACAACTTTGAACCACAGACAGAACCAGGCAGAGGCTGGCCACACACGTTCACCCAGGGAGCCAGGGAGCACCTGTTCCTCTCCTCGGCCCCTCTCTGCAGCCCTCAGCACCGTTCTTCTGTGGTCTGCCTTGCAGTCAGGGAGCTCAGATGACTTTGGTAGACCTTTGGAAGCAGAGCTCCAAACCAACTCTACCAAAAATATAAGTGAGATGATACATTCCCTTTTTATTTTTTAATCCATACTCTTATCATTTAACACAAGGGATCTTGCCTTATACACAGTAGCTGATTAGTTTTCACGTCACGTATCATCTTCTTAGGAAGAAAAATGCTACCCTTAAACCTCAGACGTCTTCCTGATCTCTTCTGGACTGGTCACTTTGGGGAACCAGGTTTTCTCAGAGAGCTGAGCATTTTACTGACACACAGTTCTGCCACCTGTTTTGGTTACGCACCCTGATTTTGCTGGGGCGGTGGGAGGGGGCGGCTCTTCCCCTTACTCCACCCCTGGATGTGGGGAGACTCAGGCTTGGCCAGTCAGAGCACAGATTTCCACAGCCATGGGGTTGGTTCAGGAATGGGCACGTGGTCCAATCAGAACCAGATTTGGCTTGGAGAAATGCATGCTCTTCTCCCTAGACTTGAACCTGGAAGGAGTAACGTCCAAGTCTTTTGGGCTGCTGTAACAAAATACCACAGGCTGGGTGGCTTGAACAACAGACATTTATTTTCTCACTGTTCTAGAGGTTGGGAAGTCCAAGATTAAGGTGCCAGCAGATTCGCTTCCTGGAGACTCTCTTCCTGGCTTTCAGACAGCTCCCTCCCTCCCTGCTGTGCTCTCACGTGGCAGAGA